CCCGCCCCCCGTCCCTGTCCCCGTCCCCAGCACCTTGTCGGGCTGCGTGGGGCAGGCGCCCACGATCTCCGCGTCTTCGGCTGAGAAGTACTCATTCTCCAGCAGGTTGTCCACCAGACACTGCGTGCTGCGGATGTGAGTGACCAGCAGCTCACGGTTGGTTTTCAACAACTTAATGTGGGAGTGAAGAGGCTGCGACGGGGCTGTGTCCATCTCACCGCGGCCCCGCTTCTCCATGGTTAAAGCAGCAAGTGGCCCCGGGTCCCAGGCTCATCCTGGCTGCACGTGTCTTCCCGGCTGAGGACAATTGGGACCCAGGGCCTCTGCCTCTCAGTGCGGCCCCTGAAGAGATGAACGCAATCACCAAGGAGGCCTGGGCCAAAGGGTCCCTCCCTCTTTTCTGGTCCTGGACCACGTCTACCCACAGCAGGCGGGAGTCATGCTCACACAGCGACCTGAGGCCACGGAAGAAAACATCCTCACTGAAATGCGTCTACTGGGGGTGCCATTGCTAAGGTGGGTGATCAGAGGTAAACAGACCTTTCTGTTGGCTTGTCTTAGCAAAACTTTTAAATGGTTATTTTTATTTTAAAGTGTGCCTCCATCCTAGACGAGAATAGAGATGAAAAAGTATATTATTTTCCATAAAGAGGTGAACTGGGACTGGGACTGGGAGCCTCTTCAATACCATAAAGAGTCGGTTCACACATATTTTGTATGTTACATGTATTACATACTGTGTTCTTACAAAGTAAGTGAGAGAAAAGAAAATACTGTTAAGAAAATCATAAGGAAGAGAAAATACACTTACAGTATTTACTGAAAAAAATCTGCCTGTAAGTGGACTGGCGCAGCTCAAGCCCATGCTGCTCAAGGGCCCTTGGTACCTGTGTTTCCTGTACCTTTCCCATCATGGCGTGTTTCTTGGAACCACCGAGACCCTCTTCTGCGCTGCAGAAGCTGGTTTCTGACAGATGCTCTGCTCACCTGGTTTTCAGTTTATCAGGAAGAGTGAGACCCACCCACCAGCCCTTGCTCTGTGAAAGCCCCGCACCTGGGAAATCCCATGCGCCAAACGGAGGATCAAATGATAGCACCTTCCTTGGCCAGGCCCTGCCTGCCTGAGCCACCAAGGCAAACCTGAGAGCCTTCGCCAGCTGCCAATCACACGACAAGATGCTGTCACCAAGGGGACCGAGGCAGGCGGGCCTGGGTGCTGGTGAGCCTCCAGGAGGTGGCGGGCCCTGCCACCCTCTCCTGAGGGCTGTGTTGCTAGGGGACCCCAGCAGGGCACAGAGTGATCAGAGCTCACACCGAGTAAGCGCGCTGCTGGGCCCAGCACGGGTCTAATGCTCTCCTCTCGCTGGGAGAGGCAGGATAACACTGGTCTCTACATCGGCCCAGCTCATCAGCCAGTTAACCATCCTACCCGTGCCTCAGTTTCCTCACAATGAGAATCCCTACCTCCAAGGGTTCCTGGAAGGACTAAGTTAATATTCACCAGGTGCCTAGATCAGGGCTTGCCTACAGCAAATACTCAGTAACTATCACCTCATTTAATCTTCAATCGCTCCGTCCTTAGGATAGCCGCAGGTGATCACTGGTCCTGTTGGTTTACAAACCAGGAAACTAAGGCACACAGAGGTTAAGAAGCTCCCTCCCTGCACTCACAGGGTTTACAGTCGGGCAGGGCAGACAGTGTGGTGAGCATAGGCGATAGATGAGAAATGGACGGAGAGGGCCAGGGCATCCATAGCTCTACCTTGGCTGCCTTGTCCCCCTGGAGCCCTCTGTAGTGGAAGGGAGAGGTGGGTAGAGCCCTTGTCTTTTAGGGAACTTGAACTTGAGATATCCAGAGAGTCCCAGTAGCCCCTAACACACGAGTCAAGGTCAAGGCCGCCCACTGCTGAGGGACATAGTCTCCAGGTCACCCAGACCTGCCAACCCTTCTCCCGGATGTCAAGGGGCATTTCCGACTCTCCTCACAGCCTCCTCAGACCGTTTGCCATGAAAAAGATAGTGACACCATGTGTGTTGCCAGGAACCACTTGGATATTCAAGGACAAAGTGGTGATGGGAACAGCATGGCCTCCCTGCTCGCCAGCCGCCCCCTGGCAATCGACCAGGAAGCTAGCCGCGGGCACACGCCACGCAGCACGGACAGAGCTGCACAGAGGACACGTCGCACCGGGGGTCACCTCGAGTGGGTCCTGCTTTCCCTGCTGCACAGCCCACCCCAACATCAGCTCACTTACGCTCCCAGGCTCCAGAAACCCAACGAACTCGAGCCACCATTCTTCAGGGAACCCTGTCTCTCCTGGTTGGCTTTTGTCTTTTGTGGGATTTTCTTTTTTAATCTATTCCTTTCCCTCGTTTTGTTTTCCATCTCTTCACCTGGAACACAAGTCCAGGCCCGTATGTCTCTGCCATACCAGAAACGAAGAGCGCCCTCCGGAGAAAATTAGCAGATGGATGAGGCTACAGTTATTATTTGAAGCTTTTAAGCTGCATTAACACTCATTTTCTTGAAGTATCTGAAAGCACTTAATTCCTCAGAATTTCCAAGCAGAGTCAAAGTCTCTCTCAATCTCTCCTCTCCTTTTTGCCCTGCCTCCCCACTCTCTCCCTCCATCTCTCTGTCTCCTTTTCTCTCTCTCTTCTTCTTTTTTTTTTTTAAATATATTTTATTGACTTTTTACAGAGAGGAAGGGAGAGAGATAGAGAGTTAGAAACATCGATGAGAGAGAAACATCGATCAGCTGCCACCTGCACATCTCCCAGTGGGGATGTGCCCGCAACCAAGGTACATGCCCTTGACCGGAATCGAACCCAGGACCTTTCAGTCCGCAGGCCGATGCTCTGTCCACTGAGCCAAACCGGTTTCAGCAGCTCTCTCTCTTTTTAACGTACCGGATAGCCTGCACTCCGGACACAGACGCTGTCACCCTGACTACAAAGAAAGGTACATAGAGCCGACAGGGCCAGACACTGACAGAACACAGACAACCTTTCCCAGCTGCCGGGCCTTCTGGGAAGCCACGTGCCTGGCTCATTTCTCGGAGCCAAGCATGTCTTTCTGATCAATAAACTCTGCTGAGTGCATGCAGAGCCAGCCCCGCCCTAGTCTGCTGAAACCACGGACTTCTGGAATAGAACCAAGTGCTATCCAACACCCCCATTTTAGAGACAAGGAAACTGAGGCCTGGGAAGGGCCGAGGCCTGTCTGGATCAACTAGAACTAGAGCCCAGGTCTCAAGTGCTTCTTCTGCTTCCCTCTGGTTAGAGGAGCTCCCTCAGCACCTGAGGGTGTCATACCCCCCTCCCTCACCCCCAGCAGAGACGCCGATGGGAAGGGGGCACGGCATGGACAGGGACTCTACCTCACCCTGTGCCCCCCTCAGCCTCTCTCTCCCGCTGGAAACTCCAGGACACTTTATCTCCCCCTTCTCAGAGGATGTGGTACTTTCTTTCCTAAATTCCCCCTTCTCACCGATGGGTGGTGGCAGTGAGGACAAAGACTCTAGGATCAGGAGACCCGGTTCCAATCACCTGCTGTGTGATTTGCACAAATGACAGCCCCCTCCTGGGCTTCAGTGCTCTTAGCTCTGAAATGCAGAGAATAACAGCGCCGACCCTGTGGGACCCCGTGGGGATTGATTCATGAGTGAATACACACACGGCCCTCAGAACAGCGCGGTCACATTGCAAGCACTTAGCACGAGCAAGGAGCAGGTGGTCTAGGCCAGGACGTCCGTCTGCTTCATTGTTGAGGCCCAGCATTTGACTGTGAGGGACAGTGTCCAGCTGGCGAGTCACTGTATCTCCAGCAGAGATGCGGAGGAAGCCAGATAAAAAAGGGCCAACTGAACGAACCTGGCACAGGGCACTGCCACAGCAGGTGCCTCGGTGGTGCCCGCCAAGGAACCTGTAGGTTTCCAGAGCTCGTAGGCTCTCAGGGAGGGTTTACTTAATTTACTGAGTGTACTCCTGGATAATTTCCGATGTGCAGGCCCCAGTCGTTTCACTGCTCCAAGTTTAACAAGTTTGCCCAGAGCCCAGCTCTCTGCTTCCAGAGCACCGTCCTGGCACGGAACCCCCTCCTGCTCTGGGACCATGGCTCACACAGTGCCTTCTGGGGCTGCTATGTCCTTGTTGGCTGCCATTTTCCTGGGATTGTCAGGTTTTGAAAACCAAAGCTCCAAAAACACCCTGCTTGGTACTCATCTCTGAGGGGCCCGAGAATGCAGACACCTTAGTGAAGACAGACGGCCGCGCCTGACTAGACCCGGTCTGGAGCTCTGTAAGTGGATGTAAGTGCTTCTGCGGAGGAAAGGGCTGCACGGCCACAGGCCCGGAAGCCAGGAGACATCCGGAGATGGCACTGAGGACCGACACAGAGGGTGTCTGGGGCTTCTCCAGTGAAAGGCACTCCGCAAGAACAACAAACAGCAGTCACCTCAGAGGCCGCGGTGAACTTGGCCTTGGGTACATAAACGCTCTGCTGACTGCTGGCCGAGACACTGAGCCCGAAACTGATCCTCCCCACTTGGGTGTGTGTCCGCACTCAGCAACGGTCTGGGACACAGAGGACCCCGCAGCTTGGCCGGAGGGTGCCTGCGACGTGCTGGGGTGGCTCCAAGGGGCACTGAGAGGTTGGGAAGATGCCAAGTTCTCCCGAGGTGGCACACCCTGGGCCTGGACCGCCCCGTGGGGTGCTGTGGTAGGAGCAGGCCGCCCAGCCAGCCGAGACACACCTGACCTGCCGCTGCCTCTCACTCTGTGACCTGACAACAACTTCCCAAGAGCGAGGGGGAACGGGGCGTGTGGGCCCCTCCACACCAGCAGGCACGCACTGTGGGTTCTCGGCCCCTCACCATTCGGAGGCTTTTTCTGTGCCCTGAAAGCCTCAAATAAAGAATTTTTTCCTCTAAACCCTGTACCTTTCAAGTGTATGCAAGTTCCCCGGTGAGCACTGGGGTGTAAGGAAGAGGGTAATGAGCAAGGGACTTTTTAAAAGGTGGTGAGTGTGCGTGGAAAAGTCCCCTGCACCTCTGATGGGATGGTGTTTAAATGCTGCCGTGCCCATCTGAGCCCCGTCCCGGGAACTGCCAACCCCGGTTTCTGTCTTCCCAAATACCCCACACACCTTTCTGGGGGAAGGTATGTTTTATTTCAGATGACATTTATCAGAGAATAAACATCATAATCCAATTTCATAACATCAGTTGATGCCAGTATCAGGTTCCCCCACCCTACCCCACCCAGTGGCTATTAGCTCACCCAGTGTAAGCAACGGCTGAGGTTAAAAGTTGCAAATCTGGGTGGATTCATAAACAGGAAGCTCTTCGGGAGTGGGGCCCTGTGTCCAGAAACACAGCTCTACAAAGAGCACCAATAAACACGCCTGCCAGTCAGTGACAGGAGCTGAGCGCTGCTTCAGTGCCTAGCAAATGGGAGCCTGTTTCAAATCCTGGGTGTAGCACTTGCTGTCCGGTGACTTGGGGCTAGTTAGTTAGCCTCATTGTGCCTCAGTTGTCCCATCTATAAAATCGGGAAAATGATAGCTACTGCATAGGATTGTTGGAAAGATTAAATGAGAGAGAGAGAGAGAGAAAAAAGCCCCAAACCTACAATGCTGTACACAGTATGTCGTGTAAGTGTTGGCCATTATTATCCAGGGTCTACCAGGTCAGCTGCATCATCATTTACTTCCTTTCA